TGGAAATTTTACAGGGGGTAAATAATCCGTAACGTACCGATTGGCCGACAAACCAATTCGCCGACACACCATTTTGCCGACACCCGATTTGCCGACACCCAATTTGTCGACATGCATTTTTCATCCCGATTTGCATTCATTGACAATAAATTACATAATTACACTTAAAAATATAATTTTTTTTACTGTTTTAAATTTTTATAAATCACGAACATTGTTCAAGTCAACTTTTGTTTTACAAATGTAAATGAAACATTATGGCGTCCATGTACTCCAAGATAGAAATCGCAGCCTAGACACCTTTGTAGCCTAGAATTATATTTTATAACGTTATTAGAAAAAAAATGTATTTTTATATGTCATAAACGCTTTACCTTTCTTTTGCAAATGATAATCTTTCTTCTAATTTTTTGTATTTTGTTTTCATCTTTTGTGGCCGATTGCAGTTTCTTGCGCTATGAGATCAAGCTCTAAGTTTGTTTGTTGGTTTTTCAGCTCTTTGATTAAAATTAATATGTTTGGCTTTGGTCTACCAACAGCTTTGTTAAGAGCTGCATGCCATCCTTCAAGGTGGTTTATGGTCCTTGCTCCATCTGTATTAAAATGATTCCACATATTTCTATTAAACAGATAAATATCTGGATCCAAGTATGTTTCGGTAAAATAATTTAATAATTTCAGCACACCTAAATTAATAATAATGGCAAAAAATTAGGTTTTGCTAATATAGTTCTAACAAATTACGTAAAAAGTTATATATTAAGTTATATTTACTTTCTGACTGTGGTGCTTCACTATGAATTTCTGTCCAAAAATTATCAATTTGTTCAATCGGAACTAAGGCTAATGAACAAAGACGACGAAAAAATGGAAAAATTAAAACAAACTCACTTTAAGCTTATTCCGAAAATCACGTTCAGCCAATTGGATTCCATGCCACGGGTGTCCGTGCGTTTTTGACATTATAGCATTATCTGAATCTTCTCTGTATGTTGCTCGACCTCCACAATTGTCAATACATTTATAATAGTGGTTAGAACCTCGTATTCTAGCAACTTGGTGTATAAATTTATCGACAACTAAAAGTTTGCCATCACTCTCAGAATTTATTATAAACCACGACATTTTAATATTACTCGTATTAAATAACTACTGACGTTGCAACTGTCGATGCAATGATTACTAACTGTCAACTGACAAATGTCAATAATATCGTAGTATAATAGTTTCATCAACATTTTGATTGTAGATTGTAATATTCTAGATTTCCACATAAAAATTATTTTTATATTTTATAAAATTACGTTTGTCGGCGAATTGGAACTTTTTTCATTTTTACCGGAGACCGGTTTCCGCGTCGGCGAATCGAGTGGTCGGCAAATTGGGTGTCGGCGAATCGGGCCTGAATCAAATAATCTCTAGTGATATTTTTCACCGAGGTAAATTTTTAAGGTCACACCGGTATATTCAAACATACCTAGCTCAATACAAAAAATAAATCCACAAAAACTCTTAATAGGTACAAATAATACTTGCCATATAAAGCGAATGGAAATTATTAATTAACATACATTTTATTTAGCTTATTTATTGGTTTTAGATGTTTTAATTTGAAAAGCTTGTACTGTGATTTCATTCCAATAAAGTAACAGCAGTATAAAAACCTACAGACATTTGATTATAATATTATATAATAATGACAAAAAATGATAATTAAACGAAATTATTTTATTTTTGATAGTTGTAGGTAGTATGAAAATAAGCAATACCGCAGGGGCCCGAATGTTCTGGCCACAAAACCCACAATTCTCACGAAAATGGTTGATTTTGATTTCAACTATATTATTATACTATATAGTTAGCAATCTATTTTATTATTTATAGGTACCTGTGGTGAATGGTGATTATGAAAATATAATTATAAAATCTAATTAATATTTGATTTCGTCTCAACTCCCAATATTTTATAATAAGAAAATAATAATATAAAAAAAGAATCAAAATATTTAAAGTCTTGAACCAAGATACTATGAACTATCTTAGTTCATGATTCTAATTTATAATCAAAACATTTACATCTAATAACTACATGGTTATATGATAACTCTGCAGGGGATGCCTATGGTGGGGGATGCGCTGATTCGACCTCGATTTGGTCGGGAAACGAGTTACTTCTCTGAACTTTACTTGATTTTGAAATCGAAATATTAAGAGAATGGTTGTAACTTGTAACATGGACATCTACGGACATTCGGTGAATTTTTTATAATTTCAACTACAAACTTCTGATGTCAAACACTGCAGCCATCAGTATTCAGTACAAATACCTACGTCCTACACACTTGTTAAGATTCAAACCCATTTCTCTCAGTTGATTTAAAACAATTATTTATCCTAGAATTTTTCCAGATATCGATATTTTTTCTATTTTAGAAATCACAGAAATATAAATAGAATTGACTGAAAACCAATATTAATTTTACAAAACATTATAATCTAATATAGAAAATATTATAAGAATAATTGAATGTTAAATAATATAGTATTATTAGGTATTATATAATATGTAAAGTAAGCTAATAATATTTTTCCAAAGCCTTTTTTTAGATTTTTTTGGGAGGGGGCCATTGCTTCGATGCCCCCCTTATATCTGCGCCTTCCGAGTTATCCTACTTTAGGTTATAAAAATGGATAGAACTTTACTCACAACGTCAGATTATACAATGTAAGCACACCTATACGGCTATCGGGCTATACCTACTACCTATAATACATCATCTATGACAATATTACACATTTGTGATAACGGTGAAAAATTACGGAATTTAATTATATTAAACATATTATTGTTGAGTTGTATTGTCTTTTTAGTTAAACCATAACTTAGTTTCCTCCTCCTAAAACAAATGTAAAATATTAATTTTTGTTAGGTTATTAATTGGCTCATTATGCGTAGGAAGATTTTAGCCACCCTTAAAATGCAATTAAATTCTGATCTTAAGAGTTACACTACCTATTGATTAAACTATAATTGTTTTTTTTTTGGACAAATTAGATCACGTTATATTAAAATCGACAACATTAGGGAAACAACATTAAACAAATATAGTAAATTAACAATGATGAATATGTATTATCCAAAGTTATTTTGACGTAAAAAATTAATTAGGAGAAGAAATATATAAAATAAATTATTTATTGTTGGATTACGATACCTACTTAAAATGTATTACAAATAAAAATAGTGGAAATAGTAATAAATACTATTGAGGGAATATCAATATACCGTAAAACGGAGTGAATAAACATACTTGAACTTTGCAGTATAATAAAATCTTTTTTTTTTGTGTATTTTTAACTTAAATATTTCAATTAAAAAACAAATAAGCAGAAATGAAAGTAAATTTGCAACAATTGTTCACTGATTTTGGGAAAACCACATACTATGCCTTAAACCTTTAGGTTCCCTGCTTTTTTTATTTATCATGAAAAAGTGCTATCAAACATGGATCTATTTTTTGTTTTTTACAATTTGGCCAATGTAATACATATGTACAAACCTTAACGACTGTGTTTCTATTCACCCCTAAATTGACAAGTCAGTATAACCAATATATTTGAAAGATTGATTTTTTTTTAAATAATACTTACAAATTATGAAACTTAACTATATTTTTAACTATAACAAGAAAAATGAATTTTTTTTGAAATACCTACAAGATAAAAAAGAAATGGTGATTTTTGCAATAATTTATTAGGATAATTATCAGTTGTTATTTTTCAATGTCTAGCCGTATGGCGGTAGAAATAAACGGAGCGTTTAGAGTTCATCAAAGTCCGTACTATGTATATTCAGTTTAGTGAAGGGTCCATATTGATAACACGAATATTCGGCCAGGGAAACGTTGAAGTAATAACTTTCCTGATTTTATTTCTATTCACCCCGTTTTACGGTATTATACATTGTGTTGATCAACAATTAAAATATAAGATGTAAATATTGTATTTATTAAAAAAAATTAATTTGCACAACTAATATTCCATCAATTTATTATTTACAATATCCAGGTAAAAACAAAATGGAAACAGAATTGACTAAAAAAAACGTACAACGGTTTTATTATATAAGTAAAAATACATTCAGACAATATTCTTCATACATACATTCATAAAAAAAACATGGTTCCATAAAAAAAAAAATTATAAAATAAAATATTATGAAACCAAAGAAAATATTGGATCAGACGCATTAATAACAACGCTCTTGTTTATACATTTTTTTAAAAAAATTTTCATAGATTTTGTATGGTTAATCTTATACTTGGATTATTTACAAAATAATTGAACAATATAAACAATAGGTTTGATACAAGGTGACTTTGTACAATATTTTGTACAAACACAAAAGCATTGTTACAAATGTTTTCTCTGAAACGTAATAATAATAATAATAATCATAATAATAATAATAATAATAATAATTGAAAGTTAAAATATAAAAATAATAATAATAAAATAGAGTCCGGCACAATGACTGAATAGTAATGATGAATTAGTTAAGTGTACATGTACAGACTTGTCAGTATATTATTGATTTTTTTTCATACCCATTTTAATGGATATTATCATACACAACACATTGACAGTTGAGAGCATAGTAGCAACAAGTGTGTGCCGTTTATATGCTATGCTTTTTCCTAGTCTTAAATAACAATGATGTTGATACAGCACAACAGCTAATTCACGCAGTATGAACGTGTAACATGTTGGAATGCATTGATTGATAACCGGCAACTTTGATAGTTCTAAAGACCTGTCCAAGAAAACACGTAACATGTCTAGTGCGAGTACAAAACGCCTGCGCAGACCTCCCGGGTGCAATTATATATATATATATATATATATATATATATATATATATAAATAATAATAATGTTGATAGTCACACGTCACTGGAAAATCAATAGAGCGTGCATTTCGGTATACTTAAATCATTAGGATCATGATTTCCAATTGTGCGCAGACGTGGGTGTTTGTGATGCAGACCGGGACTGGCCTTGTTGGGGCATCATCTCCATTAAATACTGTCGTTGCAAATCAACTGCCTGCCTTTGTAGTTCAGCAAGGTTTGCGGCTACCGCAGCAGCCGAATTCTTTCCACTAGCTTGCGCCATGGCTAGTTGGTATGGATACAAAAGTGGTGCAAATTGCAACATGGCAGCTGCTGGATGAGGTGATAATCCTCTGAGCATTTGTTGTTGGAGGGCAAGGTGAGCAGCAGCTGCGGCATTAAATTTACCACCTGTCGGATCCGAAGGATGCATCTTATGCGGTTGTGGAGGTGTTGGGTTACGTTTCGGAGCAGGCGCTGGCTTGGGCAGGGACGGCATTGGTGGATTTATATGAATTGGATGCACAGGCGCTGGGGAAACAGAAGATGGCGGCGATACTTGAGCCAACCTTTGTTCTATTTCTTGCTCCTGTTGAAGAGCTTTCACAAATGCAGTCTTCAGTCGATTTGTATGTTCCGCTTTGAGAGATTTCTTTACATTGCTAGTGACGCACAATTCACATATAATTTTAGATTCTTTATCTGCAAAATATGTATGTTTTAAAATTTTTTTTTTAACTATTAAATTTTATATTTAATATAAGACACATACTTCTAGAAGGTTTTTCCAATTTCCAAACGGGTGTAAAGTTTGAATCACATTGTGAACACTTATATGGATCTTTGGGTATGCTGGCTTCGATCATTTCACCGTTTGTTATGAAATCAACAACATGTTCCAATCCCAGTAAGTAAATAAACTCTGTGTTTGATGGATTTGGAATAAAATGCATTTCAGGTGGTGGAGGTTTTGGTGGAGGAATCTAATTATTGTTTCAGTAAGATAAGAATTAAAATTCTGTAAGATTAAATTAAAACTAAATTAATTACTTGTAGTAGTGTTTTCTCCAATTGTTTTCTAAGGGCCAATTTAGCAGCAGCTTGCCTCTGAGCAGGTGTTTGACCATCATCATTTCTCAAACGTTCCTATAAACAATTGAAATTTTTATTTAATAACAAATAAATAATGGTTTTTAAAAAAATATGTGTTTTTACCGATTGGGAAGTATTGGAGGAATGGTGATCTTTCATTACTCGTTCAAGTGTAATTGAAGGTGATGAATGAGCTGAATGTGACGAATGTGCAGAATGTGATGATCGACCATTGGATGACCTCTGCAAATTTTGTAGACCATTGGAAGGAGGTAATCTACTTGAACCCATTAAAGGATTTGAAGACATAGACTGGTGAGATTGATGGACATTAGATCTTGATGACGATGGCTATATAATAATTGTTGGTTGAAAAAATATAATACATGACATTATAAATGTTTAAATTTACCAAGCGATTTAATGGGGGAGGTGGTGGTTTTGCATGATGAGGTACATGAGGCATTGGCGGTTGAGCTGACTTCCCAGTCGGCAATTGGGATGACAACAAATTAGAATGATCTTTAGTATGAGCTGCCTGAGGCGTTATGGTGACACTCTGAGGAATTTGGTTAATTTGTTGTGATTGTTGCAATTTCTTCAACAGCACCAAAGTCATTTCTTCTGTTCGGAGATTTTCTTTTAAAACTCTGACAAGTTTTTCTCTTTCACACACCTCTTCGGGTGGTGTCACATCCTATAAATTGTTTCAAATTAATGTATTATATTTAAACATTACAATTAAAATAAATATTTTATACCTTAGGGGATGGTGGGAGTTCAAGGGGCATATCATCATCACTTTCCTCTGAAGACTCATTGCCAGTTGAGGAAAAACCATTAACCAAATGCCCATTCATATGGATGTGAGTTTCATCTGGCTGAGTACATTTTAAGGAAAGTGGTTCATCTCTCAGTGATTGACTTGTACGACTGCTAAACATGAAAAATAAAAATAAAACTCCTTAGGTAAAAGTTTACAGGAGTTGTCAATATCTATTTTTCAATTAAAAGTTAAGCATACAAAAAATGGAATTAAATATAATACAGTTTACCATAAATATAAATATTATATTATAGGTATAATATACAGGATGTTCATAGAAATTCCTATCTAACTTCTTACTGAGTTTGATAAAAATTAGTCTTATAAACTATACATTATGTATTTAATGTCTTATATTGCGCATTAATCTATCAATACAGTGAAAACAAAAAATATGACTGAATTTAGATAATAAATAAAATACAAAATTAAATTGTTATTTATTTATTTTTACATAATATTTTAATATTCCTATAAAATAAAATATAATTTTTATTAGTATATAAGAAAAATTAAAAATTATAAAAGTGTTAATTTAATGTAAGGTTAGTACCTAAATGTATTTATTTTTTTTATGCCTGCCTACTTAAAAATTTTTAAGACATTATAATATATTTTTATGTTACAGTGTTATTAAAATTTTCCCTTTAATTATTAATTATATAATATAATATTAGTCATTAGGTATACACACTACACAATTACACATAATATAAAATGTGTTTAAAAAACAATAAAATACCATATTTTTTTAATTACCTTGATATACTTAAATCAACGACATCGTCATCAATTTCCATTTGAGATGCCATCATCTACAACATTAAAAAAATATTAATTTATTAGTTTGGATGTTTCTTAATTATAAATTAATGATGAATATATATATTTATATATAAATTATGTACATGTAATTGATTCAATAAACCTATTGTTAATACTGATTAATTACCTACCCATTTCTTTATAATCAGAAACCATTTAATAAAAACTAACCTGAACCTATAAACTATAATATAATAAACATAGACCTATAACTTATGATAATATACATACTTAATGTTATATTTAATAAATCAATATTTTTTTTTCAAATAGGTAATACTTAATACTAACTACCTAATACCTAATACTTATATTCACATACCTACATAATTCTAATTTTGAACTAAAAATCAAATTCTTTCTTTGGGAAACGCTGTTAATTAATCCATAGTATTGTAGAACTAATAATAGGTTGGTTTATCTACTTCATGCTTGTATAATAAATAAATAGTTTCTTCATTACAAATTATTATGTATGTTACTGCAATTTTACAAATTGTTTTTCTTCAAAGTTCAAGTTAACAGTAAGTACCGACTAATGAATGTACATTTTAATAATTGTACCTATTATGCTATGGTATAGGTTCATGAAAGACAATATTTATTTTGTTCAGCTTGTGATCTAGAAAGTTAAGTAACCACTGAATCAAAAATTATATTTTGTTTAAGCATATTTACGTGCCAATGACAGTATTTAGTACTGATATATATATACGATATATACTCCATAGGTACCCATTTATTATTAACTGAATAAGAATCAGTGAACAATCAAACTATATATTTTGTACATCAACAGTACTTTTTCATGAAATATAACTATTGATAACCATTAAAAATATCCCAGAAAAAAAACTCAAGTAAAAATTAAAAAGTCTAGCAGCATTAGGTACCTAGGTGTTTGACTATTAAGTAAATATGCCTTTTATCTAACAAACAATTAAATGTACAGAGTGCATATAGAATAAGACATCAACTTAGAAATGATTTAATGAAAGGCAATTGGTAATCAATGTTAAAACTGTTTAGAATAGTATGAAACCTCAATTAGGTAAAACAAAAAACAACCAAGTGATATTCAACATTGTTTTAAATAAAATATTAGTTCAAAATAGGTACAATGATGTATCCAAAGATATACCAAACACCTTATTATGAGAGTTTTAACCAAAACAATAACCCATACAAGATTATTAACTAAATTGGACAAAAACCCCAATAGGAATCTAGATAGAAAACATAATACCTATCCACATCACTAATTTGCACCTATTGAATAATAAAAATAAATAGATTAATCATTAATCATACCTAGATACCAGTAAAATTTTAAAAATGAATAAATATTATGGTAACATAATTAATTGCTGAACTTTGAATAGGAGCAAGCACATTTTGTAGGTATGAAAAAAAAACAGGAAAAATTGTAAGACACCATAGGTACAAAGCAATTTTTTCAATAAGCAATTTATTTAATAATAAAAATGGATTGAAATAATAATATACCTAATATTATTATACAAAATACTAATTATAACAAATAGAAAACACATGATTTGGTACAATTAATGATGTTAATTAAGTAAATAATTAAAATAGGTAGGTATAAATTATTTGGTAGGTGGGTAAATAAAATTGAATAAATTGAATACAAACAACAATAGAACATACCAGGAAGTAAGTTATTGCAATATTAGGCAAGTAGGTACCTTACTAAGTAACCATAACATCAACATAGATTGATAGCAGAGCTTTAAAGTTTATACTTCTTGATAAGAAACTTAAGTGCGCAATGAATAGGCCTTTAGGTGTACACAATCTAAAAGAATCTTAATTCAATTTAGTGAATTTTATCTTCAAATTTATAATAAGATATAGAATCAAGAATACTTTTAAATTAAGAAAAATGTAAATACCTTAATTTCCATATAGTTATTACCTAGTCAAATATAATTATCACTTTCAAATTGCAATTGGTTTACACTATGCTAAATTATCATCAGTCGATAAGAAATGTAATTTTACAGGGGCAATACTAAGGTTACTAACACCAATATTACAATAATTTACATTTATGGATTCAGTGCAGCAAGTAGTTATCTTTAATCCGCTATTATTAAGGGCTTTTTAATAACTTTCAATATACCGATCAGAGCGATTGTCTATAAGACTGGGTGAAACATTAATATTTTCTACACGCCATAGGAAGACGAGGACCAATACCTTATTGGCCTGGTCATGTATTTCGCGAAATTTTGAGTTTTCGACAGTGCATAACTACGATAGATGGCGACATACCATATGGACAAGACAACTGCCGAGAGGAGGTAGTGATTGGCGTAGACGTGTGTGGTCGGGAGCCTGGAGACAGACCTCCGTTTATGACATGTTGGCCAGCAAGCTAACGAAGATCGAGTAAACCCAGGAGAGGACTTTCGGTCAACGGACGAGCGTGTGTCGCATTATTATTATAACACGATACGACCGCGGTCCAAAGAATTCGTAGACACGTCCATCGTTCGGACAAAACGTGTAATTTGTATTCGTGTCAAGGTGACGGGAAAACGACGAACGCGGCGGCGGCCATGACGCAGGTACAAGACTTTTCGCCGTCAAGTTTTTTTACCACACACGCGCGCACGCACGCACGCACACACGCATACACATTCACAGAGTGCACACACGGACGAATAATAAATATTGACAAAAACGTAATGAAAATATATGACGACGAAGTCGGTTTTCGCAGACGACGAGACGAAAACGAAAACAATAATAACAACAACAATATAGGTAACGATACTTACGCAGTAAGTCGATCGGCGGTGGCGGCGGCGGCGATGGTGGAAACAAAAGACGACGACGATATAATAATAATAATAATAATAATAATAACAATATTATCCGTAATCCGTTTTTCGGTCGTTGTGTCCGGCGGCGGCGGCTACACGGCAAAATGTGATTCCGACATCAAAACAACACTGTAACGACGGATTGATAACAGCGTCAGCGGCATCGTCGACAACCCGTACTTGTTATTATTGTTGCAGTAGCGGCGGCCCGGTGGTCGTCATCGGCCATCGCGCCGTCGTGGTTCGACAATAACGGCACGAGCAACAGCAATAGCGGCAGCAACGAATCGCGAGCGTCGCGCGGCCCGCGAAGGCGAAAAAGCGACGGTCATCCGGACGACGGCGTCCCGCCACACGGGAGGGGGGAGGGGTCGGCACGCAACAAAAAAAAAGTAAGGGATTGGGTGACGATCAGTCCCTCTGTACTTCTGCGATATTTTTGATTTTTAATTATTTTTACTATTAATTGGCGAAGATATGCGGCGTGGGACGGCGGCAGTGTCGATCGCCGGGATTGATTCGTCGTCGTTCAAGCAACACTCGCGATGTTTAATTGCGGCCGCCGCAGTATAGCAACAGCGTACAAGTTGTCTTGGACGGTTGTGTTTCACGACGCGAGAATTACGGCGAAAAAAGTCGCGGATCGGACGAAACGGATTTCCACGATCCAAAAAAATTTTGAGTCCGAGTTGTACGGTCGTAGCACGTCACACACACACACTAGGCGAGCTCGGGTAATCCGGTAATGGCCGGATACGCGAAAATTAACGCGCGCACACACATACACAAACGCGGACGTCGGATTCAATATGGCGCGTCGCGCGCGAGTTTGCGTGTGTGTGCGTATTATACACTTATTAATGCGCGAGACTGTCGTGTGTGTGCGCGCGGGTTTGTGTCGGTGTGCGCGCGCGGCGTGCGTGCGTGCGACCGGCGCTGCCCGTGTGTTGTTTTTCCACCGATTCTTCTTCGTTTTCGTACACCGATCGGGCCCCCCGTCCCCACCTCCGCCCCTGACTCTATCGTCGCGACCCGGCCGCCGCCGTCCGTGTGTATCAATGTCCCGCAGTCGGTCACACTCGTACACTCACACACGCGCAAACACCCATCTCGTCATTACGTACCGCACTCCGCCATCCCCAACCGGCGGCGACCACCTCCAACGACGACGCTGCAGCTAAACCACCGTGGCCCCCGAGCTCCGCCACTAAAGCGGCAAAGCCGCACGCGACCTCCCCCGACCACCCGCCCTTCAGAAAGCCAGCACGCACACCCTTCCTTCACCGTTGTGTGACGGTCCGTTATTATAATATTATTATTATTATTTATTATTACTATTATATTATTACACACGTCGACGGTATTACATATTTTATTATTATCGTATGTACGTGATGTTGTGTGTACTGTGTAGGTATTATATTATTATTATATTCAATATTGAATACCCGTTCACCGGTATATCGCTAATGACGACGACTGCGGTAATGGTTAACCGACGACGACGGGTCGCGCCGAGTGCCTACTAATATTCAATCGACGACTACAACACGACTGTCTGGGTACTATTGGCTCATGGTTCCTGCCAAAAATAATTCCGACCAGATTTTAATCACTTTTTTAACTAACAAATTATACACGTCAAGAATCATTCACATATCCCGCTATCAACGATGAATCTTATATTTAACAAATAAAAACCTAGCCGAATAGCCGATGCATAATATATATTAGTATATAATATTATAAATTATAATACATAGTAGGCACCTATGGGTACAGGATGGGCCACGGGAACAGGGAGAAAAATAGACTGGTTTTTCTCAACGTTGATTGTGAGTAGGGAGGTCTAGATAGGCTCATTCGATCCGTCAGATAAAGCCGTTTCGTTGTCATCATTTTATGGAGCAGTGGAGTGTAGTTCACTGTGTGTTTGCGTAAGACGCGTTTGTGAAAAACAATGAATCGTTCGTTAAGGTGCAGCGCGCATTCAGACTGTAAGGCTCCGTATTCTCAGGAGTTGTTACAGTACGTTTGGGACCATTTGGTTTTTTTTTATCAACCGTCCCCGTTCGAAAACTATATATCCACCTCATAATTGTTTTCCCATTGAGAGCAGCACCTCGACATCCGACGCTGAAGTGAAATCTGAGTGCGCGCTGTACCTTAACTACCGATTCATTGATTTTCACAAACGCGTCGTACGCAAACATACAGTGAACTACACTCCACTGCGCCACAGTGACAACGAAATGGCATTATCTGACGGATCGAATGAGCTTATCTAGACCTTCCTACTCACATTCAACGTTGAAAAAACCTGTCTATTTTTGTCCCTATTCCCGTGGTCCACCCTGTATATCAATATCCGACAAAGTTTGGCTAAAAGCTAAAACAGTAAGGCATCCGAAACTCAGAGACCCATCGTCCAACGCTATAATATCTTCTGGTCACAATATCCATAAAAAATTGAAACCCAAACTTTGAAACGAGCAACACTAGTATAGTAGTATTATAGTATTATAATAATCGTATTCAAATTTCAAAGATCGATAACACGTAAAAATATTATTCTATTATGTCAGATGTGCATTCAGTAGTCGAACTTCCGAAACATTTTCGACGGTTAAAAATAAACAATATTGAAGCCATGAGAATTAAAACAAAGTAAAAAATTATAAACTGACTATTAAATCTGTAAACATTTTCAATATTTTCAACTAACAAAAGTTAGAATTGATTACATTAAAGAAATTAAGTAGAAACCTATACCGATTACCGGCTATATACGCCTATACCTAATAGGTACTTATACTCAATTATATAAATACCGGTAATCAAAATCGAAATCGGAAATTTCAAAAACCGGTATTCAAAACCAAAAACGAAATCAGAAAAAATAAATACGGATATCCGAAACCGAAATCGGGAAATATATTTTCGGTTTCAAGCCCTGATCATTATAATAGTATAATAATAATGTAGTACTTGAAACCGATATTGGATACCGATTTTGATTACCGGTTTAAACCGTTAAAAACCGAAACCGAAAACAAAATCGAAAAAAATCAATACCGGTAATCAAAATCGAAATCGAAAAATATGAAAACCGGTATTCAAAACCAAAAATGAAATCAGAAAAAATAAATACCGATATCCAAAATCGGAAAAATAAATACCGATAACCGAAACCGAAATTGAAATAGGAAAAAATATTTACGGTTTCAAGCCCTGCTTTAAAGCCTCTACGGTTGCCGTCATTGGATCTGGGTCTCAGTGGCGTATTTATTTACATATAAGTCATCTTGGAAGCCTACTTGGAACTGTGAGGTGATATACTCTATTCAGATTAAGAACAAGCCGGCGGCCATGGTCAAAACCGGTTTGGCTACGTAAATCTGATATGATCTTATTCTAAATAGACTATAGGTTCCTTCTTAATTAATGGATTTGTATGGGAAGATAGACGGTTATGAGATATGACATTTTCTATAGAAACATTTAGCTTCATGCCTTCGTCGTGAATTATTAAAAAAAATTAGACATCGTTTTATAAATTATGCTTATTATTTGATTTAATAAAATGTGTTGTTAAATAATTTGTTTGAAATGTTCAATATAAATTATTTTACTGGAAAAAAAACTATAGATCTGTATAGTGATGCGGCGGGGGAGAGGGGCCACCCGTGACAACTGGCCACCGACTTTTCCACTAATCTACTACCAGATACTTATTTAGGGGAGGGGGTCGATAGGGTGTATTATATCGAAAAAAATGACATTACGGGAAATAATTGTATTGAAAAATGTGTAAACAAATGCTTTTTATCTTGTATTTTTTTAGACATATTATAAAGTTTGGGAATAAAATATTGAAAAACAGAGATCGATGCGGGCTGTAGAATATTTCCCTCAAACAATTAAAAAAAAAATATGAAATTTGGTTGATTCGAAAATTTGGTATCGTTATTCCCACAGTGTATTTTTGAGGACAATTATATGGCATCGTCACCGGGCTCCTTAAGTTAAATATTTGATGAGATATTGAGATTGGATACCTATTATTTAAATAAAGAATAACAATTTTACTTATTTTGTTGTAGAATATCGACAAAATAAGAAAATCGTTGTATGAGAATTTATTAATCTATACGTGTGATTATCCAATGTCTAACTTCAAAAAGTTCGTAAAAATAAATTTGACTTGCCTGTAAATTTTTTTTTTATTGAATGAAGAATATTTAATGAAAATCATATATTACATTTTTTAAATTTAGATATAAATATAGATAATTTTATAAGTTTCTCACTAGAAATAGGTTGCCAATTTTCGTGATTTTAATTAATTTTAACTTCAAACGCTCATTAAAGATTATTGCGGGTTTTAAGCTCAACTTTTTTTTAAATTTCCATTAACATCAACTTATGAGGAACGTTGCATTACATTTT